CTTGCAGATAAGGCATTCAATAGTGTAACTACATGAAAGGTAGTGTTATCAATAGATTATGTTTTAGAAGTTTGTTATAAAATTGGTTGTTTAGATTTATGGATTTTCCCATAGAAATAATCTTAAATAAGTCCATGCCAGAACTTCTGAGCTAGTTTGAGATAAGGTTGGATCCTGACAGATCTTAAAGCAATTGTAGAGGGTTGACAACAACATAGGCAACTCCGCCCGCCCCACCCCCCAAAAAATACAAACAAACAAAAAAACAGCTTGGGGAGGAGGAAGAGTTAGATCTGTGGTTTCCAAGGTCTCATGCATGGGGGTGGTCAGATGACAGGACCAGTCAGTGAAGACCGTGGTAGAGCGCTTGGTTTCAGACTTCTTATAATTTGATGGTACACATATTCACAATAGGTATGCTCTACTCTGGGTTTGGCAATAGAGTATTGTTACCTACTGAATTACAGTGGAGAACCACGTTTCACATTTTGAGCTAATAAGCCATGTTCAGTTTTGATTAGAGATTGAAACATTTTATTTTAACGTTTATGCATTTTACTAAATTTTAAGACAAAACTTTTGATATGTTTACTGTACTAAATTTGAATTGTAAATGATTTGAGATTAATTTCACAATGAAAGTGATGTAGAAAAAAATGTATTTTGCAGAGTAGAATTTTAAGGTAGCATGATTATAGGTTAGGCCTGTCTGATGAGAGCATACTGCTAAATGTAGACTGTTGGTCTCTACAACAGTGTTTTACAGACTGCAAGTTGAGACCTATTTATTAGTTGGTCTTGAAATCAATTTTGTGGATTTCTCCTAATGCTTTTTAAAAAGTAGGAGAGAGCCCTAGCGGGTTTGGCTCAGTGGATAGAGCGTCACTGAAGGGTCCCGGGTTTGATTCCAGTCAAGGGCATGTACCTGGGTTGCAGGCTCCTCCCCGGCCCTGGTCGGGGCTCCTGCAGGAGGCAACCAATCGTTGTGTTTCTCTCACATTGATATTTCTTTCTGTCTTTCCCGCTCTCTTCCACTCTTTCTAAAAATCAGTGGAAAAAATATCCTCGGGTGAGGATTAACAACAAAAAGGTAGGAAAGAAATAGAAAATAGCAGTATATTCTGTTTTATAAGTATTGTTTGGGGTATTTCTTTTTTTATTAAGAATTACGGTAAAAATTTGTAAGAACACTCTGGGGAATATATAGTTGGATGTGCAGTATGTGCAAGAGGTTGGAGGTCTTGGTGTGAGGAGGAAAGCTTTAAATGGCATTCAGTCCATGTGGCTTTTTCTTACCTGGATTCGTTTGTGTACTCTGTATAGCTAGTGTGGATAGAGAGAGCTGAGGCTACTGCTTGAGAGGAGCTCATCTCAAAGCCAGATGGAGCTGGGTGATAGCCACTGCAGCATTGTAGGAAGTGGAGAAGAGAGGTCTTTCTTAACCATCTTGTCCAGTGGTCGTCAAACCGCGGCTCGCGAGGCACATGCGGCTCTTTGGCCTCTTGAGTGTGGCTCTTCCACAAAATACCGACTTCTGCACATGGGCCAC